AACATTTTTAAATTTAAATATTATAGTTTTAATCTAATTTATTCTTTTATATATTTAAAAGCTTTTATAGTAATAGTAATTCTAAAAGTCTCTCAACCAACAACCCTAGTATATCTCTTCCATTCCGTGTCGGCTTTCAAAAGCTCCAAGTCTACGGTGGGCAAGCAGAGACAAAGTGGGATATAGTCGCCTTCGATGGGACTCATAGAGATGGAGCCTGTAATTGGAGATGTTTTTGGGCGCCTAAGAAAGCATGAAGACCCAAGCAGGGAACCAAAAGACTTTGGACGAAGGTCGTCTCCTGCAAGAGCAGAGGTTGCTCCAAGGTCTGTATTTGGGTTTGTTTTTCCACCATAAAGAAGAAGAGATTTATCTGGTTCCCGAGCAATGAATGTCGCATAGCTACGTAAAGTCCATTCATTATTGGCAGAATCAAGGGCTTTTCGTAATCTATAAGCGATATCTGCTAGACTTGACGACGCAATGTGTTGTATGGGGAGACGGAGATTGGCGTGGTAGACCATATGGCCCATGTAGCCCAAAGAAACGCCTCCAGCAAGGCGGCCATCAATGGCCCTGGAGAACTTAGATACCGTCCCCGGGGCTTGTGTGGACAACCTCACTGTGCTGATACGCTGCCAACAGAAAGCACATATCACATCGTTCTCCGAGAGGAGACTAATGTGAGAAGTTGATGCTGATGACTGCGTCCGTGCTATCTTCATCAATGCTTTCAGTGCAGCTACGGGGAGCTTAAAATAGCACCAAGCTGGTGTCGACAATACTTGTGGATAGGTGAAGCCAGGTGGACGGCGCAGATCCGTGTAGTCTTTAATGGGTTCTGCAGCGCTAAGCAGTCTGACTACTGATCGTCTATCGCGATTTGCTTGCAGTAGATCATCAGTCGAGATTTGGTTTCCCTCGAGTGCAGACGCGAGATGCCGAATAAATTGAAAGGCAGCGGTGCCGTCCATGACGATATGATGGAAGCACATGGTAAGCAGCATCCCTCCGCTGATGAAGTTGGCTTGCAGTGCAACAATCGGCACGGGCGGCTCGAGTTTATGACCGGCACTCAAGCCTGAAAACGGCGAGACTATATTGGCGTCCAGTTCTGAAATAGGCACTCCTCTTCGAAGGAGATCATCCATTGCGGGTAATACGCTATCGCAATCTTTGCGACGAAGAATCTCATTCTTGGGTCCATCCTTTGGCCATGGTGCTGGCAGAAGCAGTCCATCTTTATCAGTCACCTGGCCATCGAGCCAGTCAATCTGACTAGTTAAGCTGCTGAGAGCAGTCTCGAGAGCGTCCGTAACAGCTTCGCGAGTTGTTCTTAGAGGGAGTTTGAAACCGAGGATCAATTGGGTGTGACCGTTTAGGGCCGGGAATTGGGACATGACATCTTGGAAAACGATGCCATCATAATCGGAGGTTTGTGCCAGCTTTGACATGTCGTTTCAAAATCCCTTTTTTCAAGCTGATAATGCAATTCAATTTTGAAGATGTTTTGATAAGGAGAACCTGGCACAATTATGAAAGATACAACGGCATTTAAACTTCTACTTGATACCATATTTTACTGGATATAATAACGGTAAAACTAATCATAAAACGAAAGGTCTATGTATTTTCAAATTAACCATTGAACATTTACTCCGGACTAATAACGGACTTTGCCCCTGCTGTCCCGCCGAGGCTCGGAGTTTTGTTTTTATCGGACTACGAGGAGTAAGTTTGGCCTAATCACGCAGCAACTTGAATTAAACATACTGGCCATTTCTACAACATGAAGTGGTCAAAATGATGATCATTTATAAAATCCTGAAAAGATCGATTTTCTCATCCTTCCATCTTGTTTATGGTCCTTTATTATTACTATTCCTTGACTCGATACTCAGCATGTTGATCACTAAAAGGGCTCTGAAAGGCGCGACCCTAGCATGGCTCGCTCTTCCGTTGGCCAATGCGTGGTACTGTCCTCCTCCTGGACCAGTTCTCCCTGCCGCCAAATCTCCTAGCACCAGCCCGCATATCAAAGAGGCCATTGATGATCTTTTTGCTGCCCTCAAACTCGTGTCTGAGACTTGGTATCCCAACACTGCTATTTCTGTAGCTGCCAAATCTCTCCATGAGGAGACTCCCTTTGTATCCCACCATATCTATCCTATCGGTGGATTAAACACTAGTGGCGTAGCCGCTATCGATGAGGAAACGGTCTACCGCGTGTCAAGCGTCTCTAAACTATTCCCCGTTCTCGCCCTTCTCCGTCTTGGAGTCAGCCTCGAGGATCCAGTCATCAAGTATCTGCCCGAGCTACGATCTATCAGAGTTGCCGAGGCTCCGGATGCCATCACAACTATTCAATGGGAGCATATTACGATCGGGATGCTAGCATCTCATATGAGTGGGATCGCCGCTGAATGTCCGTTCACCATTCCCCAACACTCGCATTCATACTAACATCAAGTTCTAGATGCTGTCGACCTCGCCGCGGTTCCCTTTGACCTAGGCCCAGCCTTCCAGGCCCTGGATAAAAAGTCTTTCCCACCTTGTGCTGTGACTGGTTTAAATCCCGAGACTCTACCCCAATGCACGCGTGCCGATTTCTTCCGCGACTTTGGTATTCGACATCCAGTATTCGCGCCAGGCACCGCGCCTGTCTACTCCAACATCGGAATCTTCCTTTTGAGTCTTGTTGTTGAGGTAGTTTCTCAGACGACCTACGACAATTTTATCCAGCAGAATATCTTTGGTCCTCTCGGTATGACAAACACTACAACCGGTGCTGTTCCCAATGCATCTTACGGCGCTATCGCTGTCAATCACACCAGCTGGGGTCTAGACCTGGGCTTTGAGAATCCGTATGTACTTTGCCACTCCATTTCAACTCAACCAATTCATACTAACAGAAGAAGATCGGGAGGTTTCTACTCTAACACAAAGGATCTTTTGACATTCGGAAATGCGATTCTTGAACACAAGCTGTTGGATCCGGTGACGACACGAAAGTGGCTGAGTCCCGTTGCCTTTACTGATTCCAGTGGCGTAATGGTCGGTTATTCCTGGGAAATCATGCGTGCGAAGAACATCACAGGCGATGGAAGAGTCATCCCTGCCAACTACAAGTCAGGACATCTTCCAGGCTATCAGGCAGCTCTCATCCTTGTACCAGACTACGACCTTGTCTTGACAATTCTTGTGGCAGGCCCCCTACACGAAGCGACAGAAAGCCTCTTGCAGCATTTTGGCTCTCGCTTCATTGAACGCATGGTTCCTCCTTTGGACCAAGCTGCCAAGGACGAAGCTCTTATTCGATACGGCGGGGTATACTCAGACCCTGCGAGCAACTCAACTTTGAAGATTGAACTTGACCATGGCCCAGGTCTGTCCCTGACTGAACTCACTGTTCGGGGAACAAGCTTGTTGGTCGATCCTTTTGGCAAGCCGGCCCGCATTCGACTGTACCCCTCCAATCTCAAGACCAAGGGTCGGGAAGCCTGGAGATCCATCACAAGCACTCTGACCGATGAAGAAATTGAGACTATCGAATCTGGCTTGATTTGGGAGCAAGGCACGTGTCCAACCCTCGGAACGCTGGACAGGCGTGGGTATGGCTACAAGTCGCTCGACGAGTTTATCTTCGAGTTGGATTCTTCCGGAAAGGTCAAAGGCCTCAACTATCGCGCCCTGGACGTCACATTTGAGAAGAACAATGGAGCACCTGAGACTCAGCATCGAGAGAATTTAGACGATCTCACAGTGTTGTTGAGGGCGCTTTTGGTCAAACTTGAGTCTCAGTAGCCTTGAACCGCGCTGTCTGCCCCTGCGTGGATTCCAGTCGGAACCCGATGCAACCGTGTTAGTTACGTGGTTACAGGAGAGTCAGGAAGGTGATTTAGTATTGCGACCATAGAAGAAGCCGAAATTCTCTTCGTTTCAACTGTCAAGTGTCATGGTCGGCAGGGAAACACATATTGGCTGTATCTAATATGTGGACCTTTACCTAAACAATGATCATCGTGGCGTTGCAAAGCTCTATTATTTATATTTCAGTTATATTAAATCCAGTCTATTGAATCTAGTCGTCCTGCAGCCTGTCCATAAGTGCGTGATGTATCACAACCGTTGAGAATATGAGTAAGCACTGGCTGGTGGGCTGAGAAAGCTTGTGTAACAAAATATCGTCTCTTGGTCTTAAGTACTGAGTCATGCCGTTCTTTATTTTCGACACAATAAATTCTCAGTACCGCGATTTTAGGACACTTATAAAATTTAATAAAACTGCTTCCTTCTATACCAAGTGTTGCCCACTCCTTGTGCTGACAACTTCTCCAGTGATGTTTCCATCCTTCATCAAATACACGTACGCTTCACAAACATCTTCAACCAAGCCCTCGCTAGCAGTTGGGTTCTTGTTGACCAACGTGTCACGCACCATGGACTTTTGTTCATCTGGGATCTGCGACCATAACCCCGTGTCTAGGACGTAGCCAGGCTTGACAACATTTACTCGTGTAGGTTTCATGTCCAAGGCCAGACCACGAACGAACCCCACCATTCCCTGGGCTATGTAGGCGAGAATACTGCATCCAGGCTGGGGTTGATCCGCAATGCTCCCCGAAGTGAACGTAAGACTAGAATGCCGACTTGAAGGTAGACGTCGCGAAGCAACCTTTGCCAGTATTACCATGACCTGCAATTTCTTATTGGCAGTTTCGATTTCTTGAGCCGTGATAGTCTGAATCGATGTTTGGCGCGGGTGAGAGTTGGCGGCCGTCATGACAATGTGGTCTACTGGATCGATCTTATCGAAAACTGCCTCGAGATCTTCTTCCAGGCTGTCCTTGTCCAAGTCACAGAAGAATCCAGATGTTTGGGCTGTTGGAAACTGTGACTTGATGTAGTTGATGGCTTTGTCGACTGTGGCTTGTGATGAGCCAACGACGGTGACATGAGCATCGCCTCGGATTGCGGCCAGGGCAACACCTCGCCCGATACCATTTGTGCCACCTATAACTAAGACATGCTTTCCATGTAATTTTTGAGGACCAGGCATATTGTTAGAATTGTTCGAAGAGAAGCCAGAGTTGCGATAGTTCAAAATATTAGAGAATATATAGCTAATAAGTATTTAACAAAAAGACAATAAAGCTTGACGATTTCTTTTTTGAGTACTACTGGGCGTTAACAATACTCTCTATCTTTTATATTACCAGAGCCAATAGAAAGCCTTAGTATAAAAGCAGGAGACTTAAATATCTATAGATAAAATACAAAAAGGAAACTTTACTCCAGTTACGCTCGGAGTAAATATATTACTATACTTTCTTTCCCCTGCTAAAAAACAACAACAATAAATATAAATATTTAAGGCAATTCTCACTACCCCAGAAAAACTCCTGCTGCCTTAGCAGTATGAATAATACCATCTACTAATTCTGCCACGTCTGTAGACTTTATTGGTATGCGATGATCTCCATCCCACTCAAGCACTCCGGCCGTATCCTCCCGGCAAAACTCGATCAACTCCCTATGTCTGGCTATCATCTCATCTCGTAAACCATGAACATGGAGGGTTGGCAAATGAAGATCATCATGCTTTTCACGCTCAAGCTGGTCACCCGTTACATCAGTGCGCATCCACAATAAGGGCCCGCAGCCTGCCATCAGTACGGCAAAGCGAAAATTTGCCTCCAATACAGTTGAAGTCGGTGCTCTCAAAGTCGCATCGTGCTTCCAGGTCTGTTGTCTCCGCAGCAAGCTGGCTGCCATGTTGGCTCCTTGACTGAAACCCAAAAGACCAACCCAAGGACCCCTACCTCCAGCCTCATCATCCTTTCTCATGCCCATGGCGAGACATTCATCGATTTTCTCGATCTCTTCATCGTCTGTAAAGGAGAATTGAGACGGATCGTTATTGAATGCATAACCTGGTCGTTTCCAGCTCCGAAATGGGATCCATTCAGCGTAAACAGATTCAACGTCTGGTCCAGGATGACTAAAGTAGGGTGCATTTATAAAAACGAAACGGAAGGTCTTGTCGAGGCGTGCGCGTATTGCTCGGCATTGAGCATGGAAGATGAGCGCGTTGGTGCCACCACCGTGAAGGCAAAGAAGGCGGGGGAGGGAAAGAGACTCCTCGGGCAAAATGGAATCAATACGACGAGAGGAACAAAGGGTTGTTTGTTTTGAGGGCACCATTTTCTTAGCTGTGATAATAGGTAATTTGCAAATGGATTGGGATAAGACTGTATGTTGAACACAGGTACTCTTTTGACCGAACCTTTAGCTCTAGTTACTCTATTATAACCTTTTTAAGATCTTATTTACCTTTGCTTACATTTTTCTTAAAGAAAGGACTAACTATATAATTAACCGTAGAAATCTCAAGGACAATCCACAATCCGCTTATTATGCACAGGTTGACCCGGAGTTATATTAAAATTGGAATAGATTTAATTTAAACTTTATTTTTATGAAGGTTTTGTTACAGGCGCCTGAGGCACCTACCTCGCATGTCGGCCGGCCCATCCAGCCCAAGACCTTAGTTAGCCATAGTCAATATATACGCATATCTCTTAACAAGTTCCAGTAATTTCACAGAAGCTCTACTGTTTTCATTTACGGTCTTTGGTCGATAAACCCTATCCCTTTCCAGGTATTCTACTACTATCCCGCAATGGCAAATCGATGGGAGCAACAGGGAACATGCGATATCTCGGCACTCGGGAAACCCTTAGAATTTCCCTTTTCGAAACGGATTGCGAAGAATCGCTTCCTGAAAAGCGCTATGGCTGAGTCCTTGGCGTCCTGGAGTGCTGAAGAGCCAGAAAATGTTGGTATCGCCACTGAACAATACGTCAATGTTTACAAACGGTATAAATATACACACTCAAATTTTGTCCAGAAAGAAACTTATCACCGCATTGCAGGTTCGGAGAAGGTGATTGGGGTGTCATAGTCACAGGCCAAATCGATATCGATGCTCGACTGTATAACCGAGGCAATATTGTCATTAGCAAGGAGCATCAGCCAATTCCAGGAGACTTACGCTTCGAACGTCTTAGACAAGTCGCCGCAGCTGCAACTGCTCATGGCTGTTTGATCCTTGGACAAATAGTTCATGTCGGTAGGCAGATTGATGCAAGAGTATCAGGAGAGACAATCTCAGCATCTCCCATCCAGTTAGGTATGTCCTGTTCAAGTTCTACATACGCCGTTGATGCAACCTTGATTGGGTTTGCAATGTATCACAGGCTGACTGACGTCCTGTTTAGAGCCCAGGATGGGTATGAGTTTCGCCAAACCTCGCGAGGCTACAAAGGCCGATCTGTCAGACTTGATCCAAAGATTTGCTCATGCAGCCTGGTACCTTGAACAAGCTGGCTTCTCTGGTATTCAACTGCACGCAGCTCACGGCTTTTTACTATCGTCATTTCTATCCCCATCCATGAACCATCGCACTGACGAATACGGAGGCGATCTAACTAATCGTTCGCGCTTGATTTTGGAGGTTACAAGAGCTATCAAAGCCAAAGTATCGCCCAACTTCATCCTAGGAATCAAGGTCAACAGTGCTGAGTTCCAGGAGAACGGTTTCACTGCAGATGATGCACTAATTCTTTGCAAAGCACTAAGTGATGAGCAATTTGACTTGATCGAATTGACAGGAGGAACCTTTGAAGTGCTCCACTTCGAGAAGAAAGCTCTAAGCACCACTACTAGGGAGGGCTTCTTTCTTGAATTCGCAAAGTCAATTACACCTCTACTCAAGAAGACAAGGTCCTATACGTCAGGAGGCTTTCGCACCGCCTCTGGCATGGTGACTGCGATCGGTACGGTTGACGGAGTAGGCTTGGCACGTGCTGCAGCACAGGAGCCATCTTTACCAAAAGACATTCTTTGCGGGGCCATTACGGGTACTATTAGACCTATACCGCCTTTCTTAGAGGTGCACCATATGTCGCTTGCCCTAGCGGGTAGTCAGATTCGTGAAATTGGCATGAAACGAGATCCTCCCGATAGCAGCGATAGCGAAAGAATTCAAGAGGCGCTGAGGCAATTACAAACTTGGACTCAAACCGACGTTGGGAACAGGCCTGGTATTGGTTGGCTTAAGCTTGATTTGTAGATATAAATGTTACTCTATAGATTTATAACTATGTTATTTTAGTGGCTTTATTTTTCTATAGTAATGAGTTTATTAGTAGCTATATGTTACTAAGTCTGTATGAGTACACCGACTTTATATAATACTGTAGCCCTTGACTGTAAATAATTAATCTAGGTAACTAGCTAGGTTTTACGTATCAAAATATCTGACTTAATAGGATACTTATTTAAATACTATATAGTATATTTTATATATCACTTTCTCCTCCAATAAAATCTTTACACATCTCAGCTAATATTATATTCCTAGTTACAAGGCCAAGTAGTACTGTCCTGTCTATCTTCTTGCAACACATGTATTCTAACCATATCGTTCTGCAAAGCTAGCTTCAAGGGAAGAATGCTTTGCGTAACCATTGCCCCCTTTAACCCAAGGCAGAAATGCATAATAATAGCAACAATAACACCAAATATTTGTTTCCGAACAGCACTAAATAACTGGCTCCTGTCATATTGATATACAGTAGCTTTTCTTAAACAGCCTTTGCTGTCGCTCAACTGCAATTCAGTTTTATCGGCTATTATCTTATAAGCAATTCCTTCTAGGATATAGGCAAAAACTAACCTTTGTTCTTGATTGAAATGAGTGCCGCTACCCATAGTGTTGCAATGGCAATGTTGCTTGCTATGTAAACAGAACGGATAATGTTTAGAACACCAGGGTCATCCAAGTTCAGTCTTTTCACAACCTGGAGTGAGCATAGAATTATCACAAGGTTAACCCTGAAATGGCAGGTTGTTAGTCGTGGTTGAACAAATTCATAAAAGTAATTGCTACATACAGGTTGGCCTGAATTAGCCTTCGAAGAGTAGTAAACATAGTATAAAAAAGATAAGTCATACTGGTAGTGTTTACTACTAAGATGGTGTAAGGTATAAAGAGGATGTTGTAAACTACTATTAAGATACTATACTTATAGTAAATATACTATACGTTAAGTCTTATAATTTTAATTAATTATAAAGATTTATTTATTTATTTAATCCTTAATATTATAATATAATATTTTAAACTTTTTTTTATTAAGCTA